TTTCTCATGTCCACCGGTGGAAGCAAGCGGCCTATGAACGAAGGATGGAAAGAAGGAACATCCAATTGATCATCTGCAGATCTATGTATGCCACTACTTCCATCTACCACTCCTTGCCTGACCCAAACACACATCTACTTGCCCCCTGGAAACGTGAGACCGTTATCATGTCTCACCTTCTCCATAACCGCCAACGTATCCCTACTATGCCTCTCCAACTTTGCCAATGCCTCCTCATCCTTTTCCTCAATACATCTCGCAAACTCCCTCGCCTCCTCCACCAAATTAAGCTTCTCGGGCTCCTTCACACCCGGCACATCCTCCCTCGTCTTCTTCTTCGGGTCCCAGAAGGTGATTTTGTCGATATCCGTAATGGTAGGTACGATCAACGTGCCCTTCTCTCCGTAAATCTCAGACGGGGCGTCGGAGTTGTAGATCTTGCTGTGGCAGAGATGCACTGTGAAAGTGGGGTAACTGAGGATGAGACGGCCGCCGCCGTCAGCGCCTGTGACGATCTTCACGGGGAAATATTGCGATGAGGTGGGTGCACCGAAGAGGTCGATGGCGGCTGCGACGCAGTATACGCCCAAGTCTACGAGCGCACCACCGCCCATCTCGAGATTAAAGATGTTGGGGACCTCGCCTTGAAGTACTTTCTCGTAGCGGCTGCTGTACTGCGCAAAGGTTATGGATGCGCCGTAGAGTGGGCCCAGGTCTGAGATCTTGGATTTCAGCAGCTTGAAGTTTGCTTCTTGGATGTGGCGGAAGGCTTCGACTAGGACAACCTTCTTCGACTTTGCTAGTGCAAAGAGCTCGTCGAGTTCGGCGACGGTGCTGCAGGATGGCTTCTCGAGGATGACATTCTTGCCGGCGTTGAGTAGCTGCTTGGCTTGCTCGTAGTGTAGGATGTTGGGGCTGGCGATGTAGACCGTGTCGATCTTATCTTGGGCAAATGCATTCAGGTCGGTGAATGTGGTGATTTGCTTGTCGGAGTATTTGGATGCGAATTCTTTCGCGGTCTCTTCTTTGCGCGAGTAGACGGCGGAGAGGTTGTATTTGCCTGTTGCGTGTGCAGCTTCCACGAAGGAGTGCGTGATCCAATTGGTTCCGATGATTCCGAGATTGATCATGTTGGCGGTGTTTGTTTGACAGATGATTTGGGTCTTCGTTTTGAGAAGGAGCTGACCTGGTATAAATACGTCGTTCGCGTCGAGGGGCAGTCGCGTTCAACCCCACTAGGAAGCTTCAGCTCCAGCTGCCAGTGTGATGTCATTGGCCGACTGCTCCGACTGCCCAAAGCGGCAGTAGTTGGCAAAACTAGACACTAGGGGCAAAGGTCAACGGATGAGTAAACAGTAGGCTTGATCAAATTGGTATTGTATTGCAGGTTACTAAATGCAGTCATACTATAGGATAGCCTCAGTGCTGTTGCGCAAAACTAGAGTTCCTGAAGAGGGTATCATGCTGCGACCATGTGTCGTGTCGTTGAAATGTATCATACCATATGCGTGAAAGAGAGGTGCATCTTCGTTCCATCCCGGCATTGGTCCAAGCCGTGTTGGATGACGATCATAATATGAGAAGGAAAAAGTGCAGGACCAACCGTACGCCGAAATCAAACCCCAAAACTCCGTACGCTCAAAGTCGCATACTTGAAAATGCAATGACGCTGACAGTACTGAAAAGGAAGTACTCATGTGTCGTTTATTCAGTCCTCCCATATAGTGTCGAGGTCCAGGTCGACGCGTCGCTCAGCTCCGCAGACACTCCATCTCTTCCGTGAGTCGCGCTTGCCGAAGCCGAGACTGCGCCCACGGCTTTCAGGCACGTCTAGGCTGGACCTCCTGGCATCTCCGCCGTCTTCACGGTCCGCCGCAGCCTTGAGCCGCCGCAGGCGATCAGCCTCTATGGCTTCTTCTTCTGCGTCTGGGCTGTCTTCGATGGTCTCGAGAGACGAGATGGAAGGGCTGCGGGAGCGCATCGAGGTCGGGGTGGATGGCACGGACGAAGAGGCATGGGACATGGGGTAGTTCTCGTTGAACCTGGAAGGTGCGAGGAGCGGTGAGGAGGCAGTGGAGGTGGGCGTGCTGACAGAGGGCGTGCTCGTGGGTGGTGCGCCAAAGGGTACAGTGACCTGGTAGAGCGGTGAAGCTGGTCGGCGTCGCCGGGAGAGCGAGCCTGTGCTGCTGTGGAGGCTCGACACGGTGGTGCCAACGCGCGGCGTGAGTTCCAGTTCGGCGTCTTCTGATATGTCGCACACGCTCGGTACGCCCTCAAAAGAGCCGATGGAGGCTGGACGAATACCCGAGCCGTACCGCTCCATGGTTCCTACTGAGTGCGGCCGTGGCTCCAGTGCCCGTGGGCTGCGGGTCCGCTTGGGGGAGCGCAGAGGAGAAGCCGGGCGGGCGAGCGGCATCGGGGCAGGCGAGAGCATCAGATTGCCAGAGGGTTGCATGACTGTAGGCAACGAATGGGCCCGTGTCATAGGCGGCGCATTCGGCAACGCAGACCCGCTCTGGGAGCGGAGGTGAGAGCGCGAGTAGGGCGAGCGGTTCCGTGGCCGGGTGGTGAGTGCTGCCAGAGACGTGAGCGTGTCAGGCTGGGGGTCTGTCTGGGAGCGTGGTGTAGAGGGCCGACGCGAGGTCATGCTGTCGTCGGACGCGTTGCTGAGCTGGCGGGCGAGCGTGTTGCTTTCTCCCATGGCGGCGGCAGAGGGCGGGCTTGGGCGTGAGCAGGATGCGTCTTCTGCAGCGGGCTTTGTAGGAGCCGGTGCCTTCTTCGGGCTCTTGAGAGGTATCGGGCCTGTATGGGCGCTCGCGGTGGGCATGGACTTCAGGCGTTGGACAAGATCGTCGTGCTGCAGATCCTCATTCACACTCAGCGGCGGCGAGAGATTTGAGGCAGTCATGGCGGCGGGCAGCGAGTATACATAGTCTGCGCTCACGCCTAGAGAGTATGGACTGGAGAGGCCGAGGTGGAACTAGGGAGCGCAGGGGAATAGCGTGGTGCCCGTGTTGCTCTGGGCGGTGGACGCACGCTGGACCTTGCAGCGTTTCAGCCGCCGGAAACTGACTTTGAGCGCGCGCTGACTGGCTGGCGGCGGCCAAGGTGTGCAGCGACAAATAAGAGCGACAGATAGTGTGCGAGGACGACTCTGTTGGAGCCCGGAGAGTCAGAGCAGTGCACGAGGACCGTCACGATGCTGCTGCCCTGCGACGACAGAGGAGGGAGGGGCCGCGACGTTGGTAGTAACTTGGTACCTGCCGCCGAGATTGCCGCTATCGATCTGGGGCAGTCGCGACCGCCTCCATAGGCAAGGGCTCCCAACAATGCCGCCACCCTGCCATGCAAACAATACAATGTCCTCTGTTTGCTGCACAGCCGCCCCATAGACACTCCCTACACATTAAACTGTCATCACCACGCCCGGCATCCTCGCTCGCCACACCTCTCCAGCCGCCATGTTCCCTGATCAGCGCCGGACAGGACTCTAACGGACCCTGAAATTGCCTGCAGCTAACTAGCGCAACGTCTCCACCGCTCAAGACGACAGGCACAATCCAATCACGGCCGGTTCTCGCAAATTAAGACGCTACCCAGGACCGAATTGGGACCTCGCTGCTAAATGTGGATGCCTCAGGCTTTAATCCACGACGGCGTGGTTATTTATGCCTCTTCCCCACATAATCTCTCGCCCACGCCCGTGTATTGCCTGCATTAACTTCACCACCATTGTCTATGCTGCGCAGGGGGTTTTGATTATCGATAATGAATGCGCGATCTTAACGCTAGCGATAAGTTGCCTTTCTGTACGTACTCAACCTTTTCGTCCATACGGCAAAACTTCTCTGTAACGGCAGTGGACTTCCGAAGGGAACAAAGCCATAAGCACGCACTGACTCGCTACCTGGGTTCTGATGAGACAAACTGCTGCTCTTAGCCAAAGCTCTCTCCTATCCGAACTTATAGTTTGACAACCAGGAGATGAGGTGTCTAACAGAATGAGCAGGTGATAGCTGCCACAGGCGGAAGCCCAACAATTCCCACCATGTAGTCCACAATGATCCCGTTAGCCGACCCACAAAATGCACCACACTTCGAGTCACATTGCGTACTCCACGAAAGCTTACTTTGAATCGCAGCGAGCTCGGGGCGTCCTTCCGGTTCGACCGTCAGCAATATCTTGCTCGTCTGGGGATAAGCGTAGACAACATACTCGAACTCGTAGTCTTGTAGAACGCAACCTTCATCCATTTGACCTCAGTTGCCTCCATAGTAGGGTCCCGTCTTGGTTGTCTTGGATCGCTCCACGGCCTTGGTCAACGCACCCGTGACGACAGATGAGAAAGGCTGCACGTTGTCTGGATTGCCGAATGTGAATACAAAAGAGATGCTGCAGTCATTTCCGATCGTGTGAGCCTCGGGCTTGTACAAATTGATGACGATGTTGAATGATTCATCAGTAGGCAGCTGGAAGTTGGAGAAATTATTGCGGGCCGTGCTGTGGTTGTACGGAGACGCGCTAAGATCGCTGAGGGAGCAATTTGTGACGATGGCCCGTAGGACGGCCCAAACGATGAGGAGTCACCCGTGACTTCCTCAATTCAACGACACAAACGATGCCAAACAGTCGCTTCAAGGGAGGAAATCAGAGGGCGAACGTGGGGGCAACTCGCTCACCGTTGCGAACACGACACTATAAAGCCTATCACGATCATCCTCATCACAAAGGGTTAGTTGTACCGCTAAAGAAGTCTGACAATGAGCGAAGTGATGCCTTCACGTCCTGTTGACAGAAGTTACAAGGTGGAATTCAGTGGTATAACTATCGCCCGACGTGCTAATGCAGTGCAGCACGCTATCGCCATTCTTCACAGCCGACGACGCCCAGTGAGACCGAGTATCAGTGCTGCAAGCGAACCACCGAATACTGGCCGTGTCACTGATAGGAAAGGGAAATCTGAACTGAAGGGTACACCGAGTATAGTCGGAATGAAACAATGGCTACAGCAGATCGGTCACTCGGTATGTCTCGTAAGCAGTCTCTGGAGCTGTACTGACAAAGAAAGACTGCCGAAATTGACGACCTCAACATCATTCACGTCGCCGGCACCAAGGGCAAAGGCAGCACCTGCGCATTCATCGAATCTTTTCTCCGGGCTTACGGAGAAAGAACCGGATGGCCAGCCAAGACAGGTCTATACACTTCACCACATCTCATCTACCCTGAGGAGAGGATTCGTATCAACTTCAAACCCATCAATAGAGACCTCTTCGCAATGTACTTCTTTGAAGTGTGGGGTATCCTGTCTCAAGAGCCTGAGAGGTTACCTCGCTATCTCCAGCTCCTCGCCTTAGTATCGTTCCACGCGTTTATCAAAGAAGGCGTAGAGGCAGCAGTACTCGAGACTCACCACGGAGGCGAATATGATGCTACGAACGTGATAGAACATCCTGTCGCAACCGTGATAACCGCCCTTGGCATGGACCACGTCCAGCAGTTAGGACCCACTATCGAAGACATCGCCTGGCATAAATCAGGAATCTTCAAGCGCGGGGCCTATGCTTTCTCGTCCCCCCAGGAACCCTCCGCTGCTGATATTCTCCGGAATCGCGCATCGGAGAAAGGCATCAACATCCACTCTATCGGAAACGATCCGGACCTTCCAATAGACATGCCGCAGTTGAAGCCAGATGTTCAGCGTACGAATTGTTCGGTTGCGCTTGCTGCTGTACGCTGTTTTCTCGGATATAGAGCTCCCAAAGACCTTCCGTTATTATCAGATGTGGATGTTTCGCAGGCTATAAGCCAATTCTCATGGCCTGGGCGCTTTCAAATCATTGTCGATGGGGTGTTAAGCTGGTTTCTGGACGGTGCGCACAACGAGATGAGCGTTAGCAAAGCAGCGGAATGGTTCATCGAGAACTCCCAGGGAGAGAAGTGCGTGACCAGCCGGGCCACATATCCCCGCTAATCACTGACGCTATTAGTGCATCTCCCGTACGCATCTTGGTCTTCAGCCAAATATCGAAACAAAGAGATGCGAAACTAGTCCTCGAACGACTGGCCGCTGCCCTCAGCCCTATTCACATCGATCATGTCATCTTCACTCTTTACGATCCACAGCAGGACTTGGACTCTCCAGCAGGTAAATTCCTCTTTGTGCTTATAAAGCTCGCCCGCTAACTGCGACACAGCTGTGGTTGATGAGTCGGAAGATGCTTTGCAACAGGCGTTCGGCGAGATATGGTCGAGATACCACCAGGATAGCCGCATAGTTTACGAACTAAGCGTAGAGAAGGCTTTGGATGCTGCTAGAGAGCTAGGGACGGAAGCTGGTGGCATGCAGACTCTCATCACTGGAAGCCAACATCTAGTCGGTAGCGCACTATTCTCGATAAACAGATGTGCGTCAACGAGAGACCGTCAATCCTCTCAACGCTCACCGTAATCGGGCGAACAGTGCACTGAAACAATTTGGAACGGAACCAGGTGTTGCTAGGAATTCGCTCTCTTAACATTGATAAAAGGCTCTACAGCTACTAAGCTGCGAGAAACTAGCGAGCGATCCTACAAATGAGTCTTACCGCTAGCTACAGAAGATACCACAACCATGTACACCCACTTTCATCCTCATACAGCTCATAGCCTACCACTAGAAGTGGTTAGGACCAAGCGGAACACCCAAAGCGTTCAAAAGAACCATGACAAGCGAAATACCAAGCTTTCCAGGCGAGCCAGCATCCAGAAGATCCAAGAACTCGTTGCGGATGCTGCAGCCCGAGATGGGAACACCGTTGAACCTGTCGGTGAGGTAGTTGAGGACATCACCGGTGCTAGTGGCAGCCTGGGTGAAGTGCTCGCCGAAAGAGTCTCGGACGTATGTGATGGAAACGCCCGCCTTGCAGAACTGGTCTACGAGCGCATCAGTGTCAGCGATTGGCGAGATCTCATCCTTCACGGCCTTGTATACGAAGATCGGCATGGATGGAGTGCCGTGAAGACCCATGGTCGCTCCAGTCCTGATGGTGTTTTCCGCGATAGGGTCTGTGAAGATTTGTAAGTCAGTGTCATCGTCAGGATTAATGTTTCTCACGGGGGGTACATACCATCGAAGATCGCCTGTCCTTGCTTGAAGTACGTGAAGATATCCTGTCCCGCGTACGTCTTCACGTCGGCGTAGAAGCACTGGCGACCAGCTTGGTTGAAAGCATCAGCCTTCTCTGGCTTGAGGCTGTCTTGGACATACTTTCCGAAATCAGGATACGCGTTTCCCAAGCCCAAGAAGCCGGCAGCACTGAGACCAGCGAAGAGTCCCTTGTTGATGGTGTTGAAAACATTTTCGACATTGGGAGTCACACCGCCGATGGCCATGCCAACAAAGGGGATCTCTGGGGCATAGTTGGCTTGGAGTTCGGCGGCCCATTCGGAAGCCAAAGCGCCTCCACTATATCCCCACATCTGGACCTTTGCAGAAGAGTCGACGCCGGTGGTGGCGCCGGAAGCGAGCGCCGCACGAATGCCATCGAGAGTTGCGTAACCTGCTTGAAATCCAGCGACGAAAGTGGACTTGGGTCCCTCCCAGTCTGGCGAGTTGACAATCCAGCCTTGGTTGAGCGAGGCAGCAATGAGGGCGGCTTCAATGCCTCCGGTTCCGGCATATGTGGTGTTGGACTTGGTTTGAAGAGTGTAAGACGGTGCGCAGTTGATCTCACCACCGCTGTCTTCAGCGACCTGGTAAGAGAGCAGCTTCTTTGAATCCGCGTTCTTTGGCACCATCACCGTAGTGACTGTGGCCACCGGGTTTCCGAGCGAGTCAGTGGTCCTGTAGAGCAGTTGCCAGGCACCCTTCAAGTTGAGAGGAATGGTTTGAAACAGCGAGAGGGCGCTGGGTACTGGTCGGCTTCTCAAGATAGCACCAGGTTTTGCAGACTCGAAGCCAGCAGGCGGTGTATAGAATGGATCATCAGAGGGAGGGATGGGAGCGCTGCCTCCAGCTCCAAGGAGTGAACCAAGTAGACCAGGTCTGGGAGCGGCAGCAGTGAGTCCGACGAGCGCAAAAAGCGCGGCCTTGATGGCAGAAGTCCTCATGTTGGAGTGAATGGGATGCGATGCGTGAGAGAATGTGATGATAGCGATGTCTTAATGTGCGCAAGAACATTCCCCTTATATGTCCATCTCTCCCCTTCCTGTTCAAACACCTAAACAACAACCTCTGGCCTTAGGTGTCAAATTCCGTTCATGTCGTCACATGAGCATCTCGAAAGCTACACGAGCATGGTCGACTAACGACTGGCCGATTGGTTGCCTTCTATTTACGAGCCCGACTAAAGGCATGCCGATTGGTCGTGACGGCCAAATTCTACCATCGGACAGGTACGGCCATTCATACGCAAGCTCGGAGCCTCGGTGTCGAATTTAGCGCCCGCTGCGTCGGGTCCTATAGACGAATGCGAAAGCTTATTTTGATTGTCAGGAACCACGAAAGCTCCACTCTCGACTGCGTTCCTCTCTGAAATGAAGGCCATGAGTGGGTCTGGCCTGTTCGAGCCTTGGAAACATCCATGAATTCCGGCGAGAACGTCGGAAATACCAAGATACTAGCCAGAGCTTATGTCCGCCACCAATCGGTTGACAGCATGGGCAACGACATGTGAAATCGTGACTACGAAAGTCGAATTAGGTGACATGGAATCCGGGGAAGATCCCCACGGGGAACACGCTACCCCTGGGAAAAGATGGAGACGGTGGTGTTGAGCGGGGTAGGTGGTACCGAGATGTTTGACCAGCACGTCTTTCCAAGAACTAATGTGTTCAAAATCATACCATGCCCATATTACTCCGCAGCTCTTTGCGTCATTTGAGCGATCTAGCCCGACCTGAACGCCTATTCAAGAGCCACTCCGGAGAAATGCGAGAGAAACCATGTCGTGCCAATACTTCTCCGCAGTCTTGTGCATCATTTCAGCCATCTAGCCTGACCAGAACCACCCGACCTTCTTTTTCTCCTTTTGTCCGCTCTCGTTGTTTCTCCAGAGTGAGAAGTACGAACGTCACGTGGCATGGTTCAATGATCAGTCTCCTGCCCGCGCTGGGTTTGCATATTCTGAGAACCCCTAAAGGCTAGGTAGATCTCATCAATCGCCACGCAGAAAATGCTGAAGTGTCTTCTCCAGGGGCGCCACCACCCCTTCAAAGACTGCCTGTTGGAAAGCCTCATCGTCAAGACTGGATTCTTTTCGATTGAAATCGCATCGAATACATCGCCTGACCGCTTCCACGTAATGTGTGGGAGCATTGAACTCGATATCTTCATCAAGTAGTCTTTCAGCCGTGCACCACGTGACACCTGGCGTACCTGCGCAATCTTGGTCTTGGGGAATTTGCAGCTCTTCGATTGGGTTGCCATAGATAAGCTCGATGAGCACTAGACCGAGCGTGTAAAGTGTCTGGTTTCGTATGACTTTTGCGACTGCTCGTTGGGTGTCATGTGGCTGGATCGTGCATGCCGATGACAAATTGCGATAAACGAACGGATGATCGTAGAGTGCAGACAATGGTACACCTGGACGATGAATAAAATATACGTCGTTGTCACTCCAGTGCTCATCCAGCCACGGTGTCCTGTAGAGTTGGAGTACACTCGACGCCAAGTCTACTGCAATTCGAAGCTTATCCTGGAGTCTCAGTGGCCGCCCGATATTAGTGTGCTTGGTAAGCACTTGCCGCAATGAGTACGCTACCCATTTTTGCTGATCAGAGCCGCTCGACGCCTCCAGTGGATAGATTCCGTGTTTTCGCTTGTCATCGTCGATCAAGTAGCCAATACATAGGTTGTGTTTTGCATCGCCAAGCGCTCCGACTGCTTTACACAAGTCTTCTATATGCGTTGGTGTGGAACTCATACCAGATGTACTTGAGTTTTCGACAAGCGTGATGGTGCTGCTGCTGCTCGATCGAGACTCAGTCTGCATGAATCTGACCGTTTTCGGGAGCTTGGGCGAAGTGAGAGCTCTATGCATGTATGGCGGGGGTGGCTTTTTGTCGGGCTGGTCGGCGATGTACCGGATGTCCGCTTCAGTCCATTTCCAATAGTTGCATGATATCGGTTGCGGTGACGCCGTCACAGTTTCGTTTGTGAATACCACACGAAATGGCGTATGATCCAGCGCATCATATCCTTGCTGCAGTTTCTGATTTCGACTTTCCAATCGCAATTTGACTGCATGACCGCTGCAACCGCATCGCAGACCCGACTTTAGAGTTTCGTACAAGGAGCGTGCATACTCTTGTAAGACACGAAAGTTGGGACACTGGTTTGATTTGGATTTTGTGCGCGACGGTTCCAGTTCGAGAGACTGCTTGGTGAGGCTGGACAGATACTGGTTGTGCGTTGTCAGATCGTTGAGTTGTTCTATGTATTCCGATTTGCTGAGCCCAAACTTCAGTCTGTTGAACTCTTTCTTGAACAGCTTGAGGTCTGAGAAAGGAGGCTAATCCAAGTCAGTTCGTGTTCTTCGTGAATAGCACATTGCTGAGGCGGACTGACGACTGGGCCAGTAAACAAACGGCGAAGAAGTGGATCAAGTCGGTTCGGACGCATTTGCTTTGTAGTCTGTGCGTCGACAAGAACGCAATGCCATAGTCGCCGCACTAGGTATGAGAAAAGAGGAATAATGACTTACCTTGCCGTCAGGTGCCAGCGCTAGTTTGTCCATAATCTTTTGTAGCGCTCCTGCCATTCCCTGCACATTGGCCAAGTACACCTCATACGCGCCGCGTAACCTATCTTTCAAACACTGTTCGATGGACTCGTCTTGCCACTCTTCACCGCCTACATTCGCCAACATTCCTGCCATTCTATCAATCCTGACGATTCCTGTAAGGAGATGCTCAAGGGTGTTGACAAATGTGGCCTTCTCCGAGTTGATTCGAAGTAACAAGAATCTCACTTCGGATTTGAAGTGCCAGAATCGTTTGGCTGTGTTGACACCCTGCGCATAGTGCTCCAAGGCTGAGATGATAAGCGGCAACGCTCCAAGCACAATGCCAGCGACCTCGAGGCCCGACATTGTGGTGAGCAAGCAACTCGCGCGATAAGTCCAACGGAAGCGAAAGGGTTTGTGAAGCTGCTCAACTGTTTCTTGCTGATCCAGATCGATGTTGTCATTGACAGTGGAGGTCAGCTGTGCCGGTCCAAGTCTGCGCTGCACATGGGTGCCCGCAAACGTGGCCCCCACTTCCACGTTCGTCGTGCAGCAACATTATCCGGAAGCTCTCAGGCTGGACGCTTCTCAACGGAAACTATCGACTCTCTCATGATTTTCCTCTTCGCGTTATATCAAATCTATTCAGGACCGCTCTGATGCCTGACTTTTGATCTTTCGAGTACCGCGAAACATCCGCGGAACGTCACCCGCAGGGACCACACCCCACAGAGACCTTCGACGATCACAGTTGGCTGGTAGCAACTCCACACACTTCCGAACGATCATCCGGTTGTATGTCCTGGAATAGCCCTCGACTTATCCTTGACAATCGAGCATACGTGGAGTATCGCATCAGGTCGAAGCATCGAACATGGCGACCCAAGCAGCTGAAGTGCTCGTCGCAGCGGCATCTTCCCGTGAGGAAGTCACGAAACCCGACGATCTTTCTTTGTTAGCACTCAATGTCCACTACTGCCTAAGGGACTTCCAAGCAGTGTGCAACAAGCTTTCAAGCGCCCAATCAAGCATAAAGGCCAAGCTCCCGCTAGCTACCCTGAAAGATATCTTTGGTGGATTCAGGCTATGGTCGTCGAATGTAGGTGCGCATCGTACGGGAAGAGGCTCTCTCGGCTACAAGCTTCGTGAAGCATCTCACATACGTGACCAAGTTATTCAGCTTGTCCAGGGTATGAAGGCTGTCCTGAACGAGGTGTTGGAGATAGTGACGGGCCAGCGACCATCCTGGGAAGATATGTCTGATTCGGAGTCAGATACGGAGGAAGATAGTGCCAATGGCCTTCAAAAGCCGGATACAACGGAGCTTGCCCAACTTGCAGCTGAACTGAAAGAGACGAATGCCTGCCTCATGCGGCTGTCAGTCGCCATTCGAAATCCAGCTCCGCATGATCAATTCAAAGAATCCGCGCACATAGATACGGCTTATTACGAACCGTTCGACATCGCTCATGTCCGTGGAAAATTTCCCAAGGCGCCAGAGTATCTCACGGCCCGGCTAGGCAAAGCCATCTCGCGTCGCCGACAATACCTACGTTACCGCGATGATCACTCGAAGAAGTACAAGCAAGGCTTAACAAGAAGAGGCACGCTTCCAGACATGGGAGCGCATCGTGAAGTGGAGAGTACAGTAGCATCTTCCTTGCCACCAGCTGTGAAGGCTAGCGTCAATATTGCCGATCTTGAAGAGGAAGACGAATACGATGAAACGCAGTCTGTCACTTCTTATGCATCCTCCGGTCATGATCCGGAGAAGTTACGTCCACCGCCCTTGCCGATGGAAGGCCGTGGCGGCGAGCCTTTCGTATGCAAACTATGCTTCCGCTACACTGCAGTTCGACATGTCAAAGCCTGGCAGAAGCATGTCTACCGAGACCTGCAACCATATGTGAGTTGCTCATGACGTTCCAGTGTGACCGACTAACAACCCGCAGTTATGCACCGTGGAAGATTGTGAAATGCCCGACCGGACATACGAATCAAGACACGAGTGGTTCCGTCATGAAACTCAGATGCATCGAAAATGGTGGCAGTGCGTCGATGGTTGCGATAAGCCGTTCCAGTCTTCTTCTAGTCTCCGGGAACACATCGCGCATGAGCATCCGTCGCTTGCAACTGGAGATCGTGTTGGACAACTCGTTCGTAGCTGTGAGAGGCACCGTAGTATGACTGCCAAGGCAACCTGTGTGCTGTGTCTGGCTGAAGTCTCTTCGTTGACGATGTTGCGGCGTCACGTGGGCAAACACCTGGAAGAACTGTCGCTGTTTGCGGTGCCTGCACACGTCAGCGAAGACCAAGAGGATAACGAAGATCCGGAGAATAGTGATGAAGGAGGAGAGGCAGGTGGCAGTCAAGGGTCGCTCACAGACTCATCAACGAGCTCACCGGCGCTGAGTATCATTGAGTGTGGGGTTGATGGTTGTGAGACGACGTATAAAGGCTTGGGAAAAGCGCAATTTTTGGGCTTGCATCGTGCGCGCGAACACTACGGTCCGGTTTCGTTCTGTTGTGAAGACCATCTACGACAGTATATCAAGTCCGCTCTATGAGTGTGGCTCGAAGTGGTACCTAGACGTAGCATCAATGAGAAGATCGCGCACTCCAATAGCATAAAGGAATATATAGATGAGTATTTCAGATTTGGCAGAGTCGATGCCGACTTGCGCTCGGCATTTCATTCTCGGTCTACGTACAGAGACCATGGGCGTATTCCATCCCAGGCCCCTGCCATCTTGTCGCTACGTAAACCTTCCAGTATTGCGAAACCAGTTTCCAACTCTTGCATTCTCTCTTGCGCATGTAGCGATCGCATAGATCAGTCTAGATCTGGAGGCGCTCGACCTTGTCCTTGAGGGTGCGGATCTGGCCCATGAGGTCGGAAGCCTCGTTGGTCGTGATGCTAGCCGCGATGACGGGCCTGGCGACACCGCAGGCGCGGCCGAGAGCCATCTTGGAGGGGACGTAGACGTAGGGAACGTTCTTGTCCTCGCAGAGAAGAGGCAAGTGGAGGAGGATAGCGAGCGGGGAGGTGTCGGCCGCGAGGATGATCAACTCGCTGATACCACGGTTGAGGGTCTTCGTGGCCTCGTTGGCGCCCTTCTTAAGTTGGCCTATGCGAAATCAGTATTTGTCTCGCATGGAGTTCGCACAGCAACTTACGGTAGTGGGTAGCCTGTTGGACGAGGTCAAGGATCTCCTGGGAGAGAGCCTGGTCGGCTTGGGGCCAGGCGGCGCTGTTATCTTCGGCCATTTTGTTGGAGGTTGAGATGCGATGGGGTGGATGGTAGGGTTCACTGCTAAAGCTCGTCCGAAAGAGGATTCCTATAGGGTGTTAGTATGCGACGAGAGTGTAGGTATGCGACCGAAGCTCGTGTGAACGATAACAGTGTCGGTAGGCGACGAGTGTCAAATTCGAGACAGAGAGAGAGATAGCTATGCGACTTACACTGCTTGCTCGCCCGGGTTGAATTGTGGTGAAGGTTGTGGTAATTTGGAAGCTTGGGAAAATCAAAAAGTTCGTAGAGCTGCTAGGATTATTACTTGGCACACCTCACGTGTGGCGCTAGTGACGAACTAGGTATAGGGCAAACCCGAGCGACGTCCAGCTCTTCGCCAACCATCGTCACCACTCCTCGACATCACATCCGCCCCCGTCGCCGCATCCACGACTCCCGTCCATCTCAATAAAGATCTCGACACCCTTCTAGACGTCTCGTCGAATACATACATCACCGCAAAGATGGTCTCCGAACTTTGGTGAGTGAACACGGAGCTCCCTTGTTGAGCATGCAGATAGCTCCAGCTTGCCTCTCTGGAGATAAGCTGGGCATGCGACTGTTACATGAGCATCGGAGGAGCTTCTTCGTCATCACCTTATACGTACAATAGCTAACATAATGGATGCAGCCCCGTCTATGCTGTAAGTCCTCGGACCAACCTCCGCTTCGCCTCCCGACGCGACAGCACCGCGTCGACCCGTCCATCGTCATAGCTAATGAACAACTAGCCCTTCTTCGGCGCGATGGGCTGCACGTCAGCTATCGTGTTCGCCTGCTTTGGCGCGGCCTACGGAACCGCGAAGGCCGGTGTTGGTGTGTCAGCCATGGGTGTCCTCCGCCCTGACCTGATCGTCAAGAGTACGTGATGAACCGCTCGCCAGATGTCGCAATGTCCAGCACGCAACTAACACACTTCAGACATTATCCCCGTTGTCATGGCGGGTATTATTGGTATCTACGGTCTCGTCGTGTCCGTCCTGATTTCCAACGGTCTCTCGCAAGAGTCTTCGCTCTTCGCCAACTTCATCCAGCTCGGTGCCGGTCTCGCCGTCGGTCTGTCCGGTATGGCCGCTGGTTTCGCCATCGGTATTGTCGGTGATGCTGGTGTACGAGGAACTGCCCAACAGCCCAGGTTGTTCGTCGGAATGATCTTGATTCTCATTTTCGCCGAAGTTCTGGGTACGTCGCTCGAAACTCAACAAGAAGCTCGCACTAACATATGCCAGGTCTTTACGGACTCATTGTTGCCCTGCTCATGAACTCCAAGGCTAGCGACGCTCACTGCTAGACGATTACGCACGTTCGATTGCAGATACGACAATACAAAACTGCAACACTCAAGCAACGGCATCGATACGCAAAGTCGTTCAGCAATCTACGCATATGACGCGCAATACCCACATGCGCGGCATGTCTCACGTCTCCATGTATTATTCGAACGGACGGACAACGAGGGCTTCGAAGTTGGGAAGCGAGGTGGTAAATAATGGCATCGGTCGAGGTGCACTTGCGATCCATTTGACGGCGTGTATTTTAGGGTCTCATCAATTTCATTCTGCGCTTGTAAACGAAATGCATTGGTTTCATTTAGACATTCTGCGCCTTGATCTTGCTTATACTCTGACTGACGTGAGATAGCCGTGCGCAAGTTATCAAGTGATGCGATTACAACTCCATGCCACTCTCACGGCTGCAGGACGACCTTCGGATCATCGCGACCATACGGACGTCCCGGCGTTCCTGCTAGCTCTACTGGCTCCCTACATCCCATCTCTACGGCTGCATTCCCGCCATACAGTTCGCTGGGCGCCACCGAAGGATAGTGTTGCGCTTCCAGATTTTTCTCGTCGATAGCGCTGGGCGGCAGCTCCACGGTAGCAGCCTGCTCCTGGCGTCTTTTCTTCTTCAGCTTCCATGCTAACAGAGTAACGAGTACTACCAATATAGCTATCGATCCTGCACCGACGCCGATTCCTGCGCGCGCACCAACACTGAGCGCTTGCGACGTGGTCGAGTTGTCTGATCTTGAGGAGGCTGGATCTGCGCTGTTGCTTGGTGATGAGTGTGGGACGGGTGTTGATGTGCTCGCGTTCGATGATGCTGAAGCATTTGATGTCGGCGCGGATGTTGCGGATGTCAATGTCGATGACGAAGTCGAAGATTCAGTCTCGCCCACGGTCGCTGCCAGGGTAAACCGCTTCGTTTCATCACTACAACAGCTCGGATTCCCACAGCACCAACTATTCTCCCCACACTTCCTCACCGGCGCGTTCTCGTCCTGCCACTACAGCCCATCAGCACCACCCACGGTCCAGCATAGAGTACTTCACTCACCGTACTATTATTACAAACACTCCCCAAGCACTCCGCGCTCTGCCACGTCGGATCCGTACACCCATTTCGCCACCATAACTTCACGTTCGCATTCGTTCCATCGAAAGCTTCGTAATTTTGACACAGTCCGTTGCTTTCGCATACATCGTCTGCGACGTTTGTTTGGCCCGCGCCTTGATGATTGGTGCCGCAGCAGAAAGAGTCGCGGTCAGGGTCGCTGAGGCAGGGTTGGTAGGATATATCGGTTATTGGGCTGCCGTCGCGGTTGTAGCAGGTGCGGTTTGTGGATGCCATGGGTGCTCGCGGATGGTATTTAGGTTTGATTTGACGAGAAGAGAAGAGGCGGATGACGAGAAGAAAGGACTGAAGTGGTCGCAATAATGTGTATTCTTCATCCTTGCTGTGTTATGATGTATTCGTTGCTCTGCAAGGGGCTCAATCTCACGACTTACCCTCTCACTGGAGCGCAGCCACTGTGCATAACCGCCGGAAGTTTGGTCTCAGCATATGCGGCTCGCCATTGGATTGTTCGTCTGATCTTCAATTCTGTTTCCCTCCTATGCTCTCACGTTCCTGCTATGCGGCGTAGTGCTTGCTTGAAGTCCATGGGGCTCTTTTCATACTGAGATTTGCATTATAGTATCCGGGTGATCAAGCAAAGACTGGATCGTTAAGAAGCAAGATACAAGGTTTTGGTTACCCCAGCCATACTATTATCTTCTCGCGTCGCACTGTTCCTGCATCGATCCAAGTCCAATAGAGTGCACCCGCAGACGGTTGGGGCGGAAACCAAGAGCAGACTAGCGTGATTGACCAACATCACGAAGGGCTCCTCCTTGCTTTGCGCAGATCATCAACACACCATGATGTATTAACAGCAATGCGCCTACCAATCGATCTGTTGAGTGATGATGAATTAGGAGACTTCGAGTGCTGCTTGCGTCGTAGATGACCTTATGACGCTGGGTCGGGCTAGCTCCTTGGCGATCTTGTCTCCATCCCGCAGCTGCAGGAGTGTCCTCGCTATAACCATCGCCTTTCATCCCAGTACGACTCACCCACACCATCGCGCGCCCGCATGCAACGACACTCGCTTTAGAAGACACCGACTGGACAAGAATCACACGCGGAGCAAGGGCATCACACCATGGACGTCATATTCGTTGAGTTTTAACAGCTGCCAACTATGGGAATAAGAAGAAGACAGACTCCGCAAGCACCAGTAACAGCGGCTGGCCCGTGCCGCACATTTCACAAGGCCAGATTCGCACATTGTCGACACTCAGAGGCCTGTAGCTTGTAGCCCATACTCTAGCTCGGGGTACTCCTTCTTCAGATACCGGACCATTTCATCATCATGATACTTCCAATTCGATCCTTCGGGCGGTACAAACCCTTCAATCAGCGCCATTCGTGGTGACTCGAGGCCCAGATGCAGACCGGCGAATATCTGGCCCAGTCGCTGAGGTTGTTGAGCTGTCGGTAGGCGATATAAAGACACTATCGTAAGATTTCTGAAAAAGATATCGAGCTGATAGGCGATGCCACGAGGAAGGATATACTGGTGTCTTAGTGAGGGCGCACTGACGATAGAGACATCGACGTAGTAGTGGCTGAACAAGCCGCGGTCCAACGCGCCGTACATGGTTAGCCTGAACGTAGCAGACTCGACCAGGTAATTGGGATACGGCGGTACGGAATGTAGTCCAGAAGTGTTGAGTGCGATGACCCAGCTACTGGTATCTCCGACACGACGCTGGGAGAGCAGGGTGTTCCTTTCTTTCTCATCTAAGGCGTCTTGACGTTTCAGAGGGAACACGTCGAGGCCTAACGATTCTGTGTCGACCCATTCGGAAGTGGTCATTTTTGTGGGGTGTCGTAAAAGATAACCCCTCTTGTCTATGAATGTCTCATGTGGAAAGACAGAATAGGCGCGATCCCAGGTGATAAGGTTGCTCAGAGAGGTCGATGAGGGCAGTAGCGCTTCGAGAACCGGAGTCATCGCTGTTTCCACGATGTTGACTTCGCTACACTTTCCATCGGAATTGACTCGACTCATTGTTATTCGAAGCTTCTGGGAGGGGTTAGCGAGACACGCGTGGAACATACGAATTAGCTGAGCTCATTCGAACTTACTGAAAGCTCTTTGTCCTCGGGCGTGGGAGTATCGAGACGTTCATAACCATCTTTTTCAAGGAAGGTGCGTAATGCATCAGCATTGGGTCCTTTCTGAACAAGGAGGCTATAAAGCCCGTGTTTACCGCCAGTCTTCACGACCGGCTTTCTCGCCATGAACTCGTACGCGAAATTTCCTCCTATGAGGATATTATTTCGGGCTTGAAGAGCGCGGAACTCGACAGGAGAAGTGACGAAATGCTTCAACCGGTCGTTGATGTTGAATTGAGTGCGCTCCACCAGCTTAACCAAGTCCATGAACGGCTTTGTGGTCTTACTGAGCGAAACAATATCGGCCATGTCGAGTTGCGCGAGTATGGCATCCTGGACTGGAGCATATCGAGTCAATAAATCCACGATCGGAGGTGTTCTCTTCGGTTGCCACCATAACTTAACTAGCTTAAACAGACTCTTATCTCTTAGAGATACGACAGCCAGGGAAAAGATGAAGATAATCATGGGAGTCAAACAAGAAATGAAGGAGAACATATTGGCGACTTTCGACGTTGAGTTGCTCGTGGAGGAAGGTTGAGCGACAATTGGGGTAGAGTGTATATTGAGATGGTCAGGGGCTTCTATATACAGGAGGGGAGTCTGAGCAGGAGCTGTGGCCTACCAGGCGCAACAGTCTTGCCACTATATTCACTACGCAGCTCTTTTCTCCGACTCGAGAACCATCAATCCAAGAACAGGAGTGAAGGAGGGTGCTAACCGAGTATACAATGACGCGTTTTACCGTGAGCGACATCGCTACCAAGACAAACGCGATACTCCATCTACATGACCAAAGGCAAACGCAAACTGCGTCAAAGACGTCACAAGTACACTATCCCCTCATCTTCTCTCACCAAACACGAAGTCACGCTGGAAAGCAAGCGTCTCTCACCTCGGGATTAGCTCCACCCACAGGGATATAAAGTCGTCTCCCTCCGCACCCTCTCTCCTCTTTTCTCTTTTTTCTAACATTGACATTGAGGCAACTTCGGCAATATCCACACTCTACTATATCTTATTCGCTTCCTTCAATTCGAACCGACTTCTATATATCCTTTCCAACCTTGACTTACCAATTTCAACATCAACATCAACAAGATGTCCAGCCCACCAGGAAATCAGACCCCCAGGCGCGGCGGCGCTGCTTCGTCTGGTAGTCCCTACAACGCTCCTCGCCACGGTCGAATCCCCTCTCGCACTGGAATCGAGCCCCTGTCTCCTCCTCAAGCTCAGCAGTCAACCCTGCCAAACCATCGAGCTCCACCGACCGTCCACCATCTCCGAGAAGATGAACCAAATCCTCTCCAACGCTGGAATGGCGCTTCTGTTACCCCGTTCATGCGCTGGGCATACGCAGTCACCGATGCCCGAGGTGCTGTTCGCCCCAATTACAACTACGATCCGGACATGAACAACGCGATCTACCTCAGCGAGACCATCGTAAGTCTTCCCCTACTTCCTCTCCACCCACACCCACACCCCTAGCAAATCCCCATACTAACACCACCCCACAGGACGACTTCGACCGCAACCCCTCCCTCGTCCACGAACTCGTCCTCCGAATCGCGAACCCCGACCTCGGCCACCCCTCCATGGACTGGATCCGCGCCAACCGCTCTCTCGTCGATATCCTCCTGTATCGTCACTACCAGCGCTACGGCGGTCTGATGCTGCCTCCGACGGCGGCAGCACTTCAGGCGATGCAACAACACGAGACCGCAATCGCTGCTGCTAGAGCCGCTGGTGTCCACCCTGATAACTATCCACACATCATGTTCCCGGCTTTTGGACCGCCGCCGCCGGGTGAGGGCGAGGTGGGCTCGCCTGGTGGAAAGGGCAAGGGCAAGGCGACACCGGGGAAGCCGTCTGGATCTCCTCCGGGTAAGGGTAACCCGTTTGGCAGTATTGGAGATAGGGGTGGGTTTGGACGTGGAGGTCCGAGTGGTGGTGGGGTTTACTACTGAGTAAGTTGTACATCTCCTGGTTGTAGTATGGTGTGTTGGTTGAGGTTCTCGAAGACCTTTGTGACTTCCTGGCTGCAGTATTACGCTGCTTTGGAGGACCACAATGACTTCGAGGACCTCCTGGCTGCTTGATACTATAACTGTTTGGATGTTTCTGATAGAGCCTGGCTAACCTCTAGTAGTACTCCCAAAGACGAGTTGTCAGTAAAAGGAAGCATGACTCGTCACAAAGACGATACGAGACGGCTCATCACTGGGTGGAAATAGGCCGAGGTGACTATATGGGTTTCAATGAGATGGTTACATACATAGACACGGAGATTGGAAGATTAATATTGGAATATCATTCATATCATTACTATCATATGACCATTACCGTACTTTTGAAATCTACAACCCACTCTTCTCGTTCTTCTCATCCCTAACACTAAGAGTCTCAACATTCTCAGCATCGCCAAGCTCACGGCCGCCCACGTACTTGCTCTCCTTCATGTTGTTCATAGCATCTTCCTGAGCATCTGCCTTGCGGAAAGTGAGGTAGAAACCGATACCGCCGAACATGGCAACAACAGCAACGGAACCGTAGTTCCATACGAGAAGCGGGTCCTCAGACAGACTGACAAAGGCTTGGCCGAGAGCGGCTGAGACAGCGGAGGTGGAGAGGGCAACGGCCTGGATGGTGGACTTCATGTTGTTGGGGGCCTTGGTGTACGCGTACTCGAGCTTGGTGATGGAAGCGAGAATCTCGGACATACCGATCAGACCGTAGGGGAAGGCCTGGACCCAGACGGAGATGTCGGCGTTGCAGTCTTTGCGTTCCTTGCTGAGAGCGTTGATGTTGCTGCCGCAGGGTGACATCTTGTAGATGTAGTATTGGATGACGCAGGCTGACACCATGGCGAACGAGGAAAGAGCGAAACCAGCAGTGATCTTCTTGATGGGCGAGAGGTTGACACCAGCCTTGCGGAGAGCGGGGTAGACGAAGAAGTCCATGATGGGGATAAGGATGACGATGAAGATGGGGTTCAGCTTCGAGACAATGTCGTTGGGCGTCTTTCCGAGGTTCATGGTGTTGGCTTGGGAGACAAGGTTGTTGGTCATCTGGTTGTACGCGAGCCAGTAGAGAGGGTACCACAGGAAGACCTTGCAAGCGAGGATACCGCGCTTGACTTCATCAACCCAGGCATCGTCAAAGGTCATCCAGTCAGGAACAGCCTGGCCGCTGGCACGGAGGGCAGTAGGCTTGATCCTGTCCCAGAAACCATCGTCCTTGAATGTGTTCTTGCGGGGCGACTGCTTGATACCGAGACCGATGAGCTTGAAAGCCTTGCCCATGACGGATCCAGTGGGTGGCGAGAGCTTGTAGTGCTTCTTCATCGTGATGAGAATGATGGGGCAGAGGAGGTAGCAGATAGTGGGTAGCGTGTAAGAGAGCCAGAAACCGACGAAATGCTGGATGGCGTTAGTGAGGTCACACAATGCAGTCTGATTCGGCACATACCTCTGAGTAAACCATGGCGATGGAACCGCAGATAGATCCGCAGTTGATCAAGAAGTAAAAGTAGATGTAGATACGCGCAGTGGTAGTAGCGGGGTCGACAATCTCCTTCTGTCCATTCTTCCTAACACGGACGTAGGCCTTCTGGTCCTTGTACTGTTCGGCGATGAGTGGAGAGATGTTACTCTTGAAACCACCAGTTCCGAAACCCATAACGACGAGACCGACAGCGAAGACACCGATGGCGACATTAGGCTTGACGATGACTGCGGGGATAGCAGACATAATCAGAATAATGTGGCCGATAAGAGCGATAAGGTTAGAGTACTGGATGGTTTTGTAACGTCCCCAGTACTCGTCAGCGAGCCAGGCACCACCGAGAGGCGTGATGTAAGACCAGAACTGGTTAAACATGGTGAGACCGGTGGAGGCACGTTGGCCCATGTCCAGAGCACCGGAACTGACGCCCTTCTTCAAGAAACCAGCACCAGTTGTGGAACCAGGAGGCAATGGCTTTTGGATGAAGTCTGGTAAAAGTCAGTGTATGTCCAGATATACGAGCTATCAATCAACTTACTGACGAAGACAGCGCTGGTACCGTAGTAACTGAAGCGCTCAACGAACTCAACAGCAGCCACAGTCCATGCTTGCCACGGGATGCGACCAGCAACCCTGGGAAGAGTCGCCCATTCCTCTTCAGTAGGGAATGGACCCAAGAGGTTGGTGTTCTCGTCAAAGGAACCAGTGGAGCTGGTGTCGAGCGGGATAGGGTCCATAGCAGTGGCGCCCTTGGTGATCTCAAGAGACGCCTTGACGTTGGTGTTGGCCGCCATTGTGCTGGAGAGAACTTGAACTAAGCTCAGGTAGAACAAAGGTAACAAGGTACGACCGCGAAATTGAATGCGCGGGCGGTGGAATCAAGTAGACGCAACGGGCGATGAACTTGAGTGCCTGCGGTCCAGACAGGTGTACCATGCCCCTCTTCATATACACCCAAGCAAACTCCAAGACCGAAGCTCTGGACAAGAGTTGCACAAGGGTCGCACGCGACTATCGAGCGTGTCCACTCTCGCCATGGCATTTCGTTCGCTCGGTTCCCGCGTTATCACAGCAACATGCACATAACAGCCATCCAAGACCATGGAACGGCGCCTAGTCCGGTCGGAGGATCATACAAACCAGACCTTCAGGCATACTGCCGCAGTTAAGCGCGTTGGTTAGAGGCATCCAAGGCCGTGGTAGCCCCAGGATCAGGATAAGATAGGAATGAGCAAAGAACCCGGGCGCCAATACGAGCAACCAGCCTTGCTCCATGGGCGCGGCGGAACGTTCGAAAAAGACGTGCCAAGCTGAGCTAAGCAGGAAAAGATAACGCTCAGGGAAGCTTCCCATGCGGGCGCGCAGGACGCGCCAAGCCAGGATCCATCTCTTGGTCTTGTCACCTCCCCTTCTGGCCCTAGTCACGATTGCGACGCGCCTGAATGGATCTAGGATCTCCGCCCGGATGGTAGCCAAGGCCTTGGACGTAGGGTTATCAGTATAAGCGTTTCATCACGGTTACCTCCTTCTGCAATGGATCACGCGCGAGATGATGGCTGATGGGGCGTGGTTGCGACGGGGCGTTGGAAAGTTGGAGAGGTTGGTGTTGAAGCGGCGGGTATTATTGGTGTTCAGATAAACCTCACGCTATCAATGAAGCACGGACCTGCTAGCGGAAAACTGGCGGAAGGCGTGGCGGAGTGATCACCGCACCAACGAACTTCTTTTGATTTGACATCTAGGGGTATCTGCTCCCGAGAGGATGGAGGTGGTGACATCCACTGAGGCGAATTACTCTCAGCTGCCGAACACCATCTTTCCAAAACTTTTGCCCTTATCTCTTCTCTTCTCGGTCTCACCGAAATCTCACTTGCCCACTTGCCGGAAAAACTCGTCTTACTTCCAATCAGCCGTCCCGAATCAGTTGTAGCCATTTCTGGATCCTGCTGGTGGTCAGTGACATGGGTGTTGTAGAATTGATCTGGTGGGTATCCGAACCTGGATAGAACTCTTCCGCGTCAGGGCGAGGCACATGAGTGCTCGCACCTGATCCTGAAGGTGGTTGATGAGGACGTGCTGGAAGACCTTGAGTTGGTGCTGGGTCTTGACCTTGTTGACTACCTGAAGAGCCACGACCGCGCTGAGTCGGTTGTCCTTGATGATACGGGTTGCCACCTTGCTGTGACGGCATCGCGAAACCGCTGCTTGCTCCAGTCTGCGAAGAGTAGTCTTGGTGGGCACTATACATCATTTGACTGCCAGTCCAGCCACCACCATACTGCTGTCCGGGGTTGGTGAATGGCTGCTGTTGGTAGGGCTGCATGGGATAACCACCCATAGTCGGCGCAGCCATGTAAGGACCACCACCATACCCATACTGATAAGCTGGGTAGGGATACATTCCTGGAGGTGGGTTTGAAGCGAACTGGGACGGCGTCTGTTGCATGTTCGGAGGAACATTTGGTCCTTGGTTGAAACGACCGCCACCATCCGAACGTCCAACGAAGCCACCTCGAGGCTGTGAAGGCTGACCCCTTCCACGACCGTTTCCACGACCATTTCCGCGACCATTTCCACGGCCACGCTCAGCCTGAAGGCTGGCCAGTTCCCTCTCCAGTGTTGCATTCCTTGCTTCAAGCACTGCAACAGAAGTAGCACGCGCTGGCGCAGCTTCAGCTGGAGATGCGGTGGACGGCCTAGTACTAGTATGTCCTGCTCGAGGGAACTCCGGACTCGGGTTGTCTCCCAGGGAATACAGCATGTACGACCCGTGGACAATGGCGTGGCGGACAAAGATACGGAGGCAGTACTGGCTGCCTTGCTCGGTGACGGCTATGAACTTTGACATTTCCGCCGGTGTCAAGAGTTCTGAGTTTAGGAGGCAAAGGCGGAGACGCTCAATTGTGAACGGGAAGTCTTCGTAGTGTTCCTGGGATGTATGCGTCAGTGCCTGTAATTAAGAGATGGCGGCGTGGCTGTTGGGTGTCCCAGGTGTACTTCACGTATTTCCCCGCCGTTGTGTGGCTTGGTGGGGATACAATGTGTGCTCCTGGACTGACTGATGGGGAGTAAGTTAGCGTCCGGGTTACTTACGAGAAGATGCAGGTTCGACCTTCCGAAAACGACCTGGCGGTTCCAGTCCATTGTAGTCCTGCGCTCCTCTGGGTAGACCCGCTGAAGGAAGGGAATCAGTTCAGAGTCGACCCAGTCTTGGTCGATTGGCGCAGGGGAGGAGTTGAAGACGGCAGGAGGTGTTCGGCCCGTCATGGTGACAAGAAGGTGGAGTTGGACGTAGAAAGAAGATCGAGTCAAGTATCAAGTCGAATTGTATGAAGGTAGGGTATACTCGATTGCAGTCAAGTCGCGTAGGTGTCGTGTATGGAGAGGAAGAAAGGAGTGTACTCCTGACAGTGTCGATAGATTATATACACACTGGCAAGTGAAGGGCCCGGCAGGTACCCGCATTGTTTATCTGTTTATCTTGCTCACTCCCTCCTTCACTTTGTTCTTCCGACGTCATTCCCGCAGTTACCCGCGGCTTTTTGCTCACTTGACGAGCACGCGATTGCTTGCGTCGGCGCCACGTTAAGTCCGAGCAAACGCAGTTGTATACTACCCGACGCGGTGGTTCTTATCCCCGATCAGGTGAAGGAGAATTTGAGGAGTTGGTCCTTCACCTTTCACGATGTTCGCAGTGAGAGGAGGATGCAACTGAGTTTGGATTGCGTTTTCAGAAAATAGTCTGTGTACGACGAGGCACTGTGATAGCAGCAATCAAGTTTGTATCTCTCTTGAGATTAGTACTGTGATGATGCGGAGGGGCAACTGAAGGACAACTCGCCGTCTCTGTTATACTCGTACGAAAAGATACCTTCCTATTGTTACCTCACAAAAGAAGCAGCTGTCATAGCGTCGATGTTACCCAATTCGTCTTCCTCCGTCATGTGAACAGTCTAAACAGGCTTCATTGGAAGTGGCAGTGGCAGATGGAGTAAGTCGAATAACTCTGCTTTCATTCAGATCTCTCTCTGTATTTGACAGCGAACACACTCTGGTATATATCGAACCTAATCGCTAACAAAACATGGATATGCCAACAATGCTTGGAAAGTCCTAACAAACCAACACCCCTAATTCCCTACATGCCAGTAGTGATATCTCGTGTCACATTTTGCTCCGAAACGCCAAAACACAAAAGGGTAAGAGAAGGAGAAGCGCCTGTCTTCTTTGTCCAGAAGGGTGTGGAGTAGAAGAGAGAAGAGGAAGGAAATCGAGAAGCAAGCCTCGCGCTTGGTGGTAACAAAGGAGAATGTACATCTGCGGTATTTGATGTGTGGTGGTGGTTATGCAAGCCAGCTAGTCTTCCAAGTCCAGCAAGCCGGGAAGGGAAGTGAAGCTCTATATCTTCCTTCGAACAGTGAACTTGCGCTCCATGGTCGCAGCGGGTAAGGCTTCAGCGAAGGTATCGCGTGCTGTTATTCATATTAGCATTGTCCCTCTTATGCAATGTTGTGGGTATGACTTACTCTCAGCAGAATCAAACATGATGAGAATATCATCATGCTCGCCCGGATACTCAATCTCATCTAGACAAACAAATCGTCTCTTCGTACCAGACCAACCGGTAAGTCTGCCCTCCGCCTTTTGGATTTTGCCCTCGCCCCTGCGTTCATCGACCGGAAGAGCAAATTTAGCATCGACAAGCTTGAGTCCGAACTGACCGTTCTTGTCAGTCTTTTGGAACGTATCGGTAAGGCGGAGCTGGAAGTTCATGGCGTCGGCGTGGGAGAAGTCTTCGAAGAAAGCGAGGAGTTGGATGATGTTATCTTGCTCGACGATTTGGAGTCGGATGCGTGTGGCGGTCCATTGTTTGTAGATAGGGACGACCATGCGGCGACGGGAGATGGAGAAGGAGTTTGCGAGACTGGGATAGTGTTAGCTAGGTGCCAGAAGGAACAGTGATGGAGGTAGACATACCCGTCGAATTTCACGTGGAAGCCGGTAACAGCCAACTGGAAGGTGTGGAGGTCGTTGAAAGAGTTGAAGGTGAGTCGTCGGATTGTCGATGCGCTTGTGAGTGTCTTCAGAAGCTTGGCTAGTTCGTCGGGGACGGCGGGGTCAGTTCGACTGCTGTCGACAGCTACAGCCATGTCTTGTTGAGCTTCGCGGAGGAGTGTGAGTTCGGCGGCTCCGTCGACTGGGAGGCGGACTAGAAGTTCACCGGATCCTGGAAGTCGTTAGTATCGCATTATTCATCCGACAAGACTTAACTTACCCAAGTTCATGCGGTCAGAGATGATACCGGCTGTGTGTCGACACATAATCCTCAAACTCTCACTCTTGACAGTGGGTGCTGATTCTAATCCTGCAGCTTCTGGATCCAGGTTCATAACCTTGGCTTCCACCCACTGCAGCTTTTCCAGCACGCGACTACCCTGCGAAGTAAAGCCCTCTGACTGGTCCGCACTCTCAATGTGGAATGCTTTCAGTGCGACTTGAGCGAAGGTAGTCTCGCCTTCTGCGACATTCATGGACGTGAATGTGCCAAAGAGGTCGTTTCGATCCCTGCCACTCTGGAAGACGAGGTGAGCTGCACATGTTCTCAGCTTTTTATCCGCACTCTCTTCACGGAATCGCAGTCTCAACGCCGGAGCTTGGTTGGCTTCGGTGACGTATTCGAAGTTCATGGGCTCCTGCTTTGTTCCGAGCTCGTGGTTGATCAAGCTGACTTGCTTGGTTTGCTGCGGCGTGACCAGAACCATACGGTAGCCTCGATGTAATTTCCGCTTTCCTGTACCTTCACTACTTCGTTCGATCCTTTGGAACACCATCAGCTTGCAGCCTTGAATTCGATCGCCTGGCCATGCTGCTGGGTTTGCAGGATCCCGGTAGCTCGCCTCCTGGAGGTACAATTTGCAAGCAAAGCGCTCGTCTCTCCGTTCTCGTAGGTCTGACTCGACTCGGTTCGTGTGATTGACGATAGACCAGAGACTACGGAAGTCACTCTCGTGCAGCGCAAGAGTCAGGACAAATCCGTGCTTCAATTGAACTGTGAGTTGCGAAATCTGTTGCTTCCAGTTGACGTCTTTCCAGCTAAGTACTGATCCGGAGCCCACCAGAAGGTTGATAAGGCTGTTTTGGCTGCAGATGGCCAACTTGACCTGATACTCCTCCTTAGACCGCATGACGGATATAACAGCATCCATCGGAACACGATCGGTGGCGGGGTCATCGGTTGAGACAGAGGCTTTTACGAACATGCGGAAGTAGCAAAAGTCGGTCTTCGTGTCGGAGAGGGGTATGTACTGAGATAGACTAAACTGGCTGCCGTTAGGAGCAGGGAGCCCGGAGGTTAGCACGCTCGCTGCGTCTGCGGGGAATGTCGGATACTCCTCCCATATCTTCTGGTCTTGTCCCTGGATAAGAGCTTGCGTTGGAGGCATGCTTTGATGCTTCTTCATCGACCCCACAAGCAATTTCAGGTAGTGGGTAATCGCATTCTGTATATCAAACACCTCCGCACTCGCAGGGTCTCCGGCTTGTCTTGCCATGTCGACTTGCGCATCAGGGGACGCGTTGCCATAACCCTGTAAGCTGGGATGGTTCGGAAGGACTTCAGAAATGATCCACCACACTTTGGCTAGGTCGACATGCGGTTGAGCCAGTCGTTCTTGTATCGGTTCGGCAGACTTGGGTTGACTCCTGATCAGGTTCTCCATCCCAGTACGTCCTTTCAAGAACCACCAAGTAGCAACCCTGAGCCATTGCATCGGCGAGTGACTATTGAGGTTGCCCCCGAGCTGAGCTGTCAGCTGGAAGATGCCTCTCATGTGCGTAATGCGCTCGGCAAAGTCCCGGTATGCGGAATCATTCGCAGATCTCGTATCCGAACGAGCGAGAGGAGCAGCGGGTTTGGCGCTGGTACTGGCACCAGATGCGTTTCGTGACGGCAACTGGCTAGGAGGTCCTGAGATGGCGAGAGGCTGGGGAAGTGAAGAAGGTTGCAGTTGAGGTTGAGCGGACGAGAAATAAGATGTACTCGGGGGAAGCTGGGGTGGAGTCGGGAGATTTGGGCTGTCGTCGAGGGCCCCGAAAAGAGCGTTCTCTTTGATCGACGGAATCCGTTGTACGTTCGTATTGATAAAAGGATCCGACCGTGCAGCAGGAGAGGCGCGTGTCTGTGAAGGAGAAAATGCGACATATTGCGATCTAGACGCGGATGGTGGTGATTGCGCTCCCGGCCGTCCTGGGGAGGGCCCACGGGCTCTCGATCGTTCAGGGTCCTCAGTGTCCAGTCTCATCCGAGGAGATCCCCTGGAATCCGACTGGGGTGTCTCTAGAGGTGTTCTGGCTACGGCCGGTGTGGCATATGAGGAAGGAGGTGTGCCCACAAGGGACTGCTGTGAGCTCGTCTCGGAGTCCCGTCTTTGGCCCGAGGCTGCGCGTTGCGATGCCTCATGCAGTGTTCTGCCCTCTTCCGATCGCATCTTTTGTTTCACCCTCGCAGCGAACGAACTCGGGCCGTCGTCCTCCTGCTCAGCCAAATGTCTTTCTGGCATCATGGGCACCGAAGGTATCGCATGCACCGGCGAGGGCAGATCGTCGTCACCCAGAGTACTGAAGCCAGTCTGCGTGCGTTTAAGCGGCTTTGGCTGGAAGTCGTCCTCTTCTTGGATAGTAGGTTCGCGTACTGACATATTCCTCGACATGACAGGTGAGAGATTGTCCGAATCCTGTGAATACACAGAGTCCTCGCTGGTGCTGGGTCGCCTTCCGGGAGGGATAGATATAGGCTCTGGTATTCCGTCAAAGCCAGTGGGCGCCCTGGTGAGGCCCTTTGGTCGGTCCCCCAAGCCCATAGATCCCATGTAGCGCGGCGGTGTGGGTGGCAGTTGCGTAGCGTGGGTGTTGATCTGACCCATCTGCATCTTCTGGCCGAGTGGTGGGGACAGCTCGCCGGGGTTCGTGCGCGTTCTCGTGAGGTTTGTCCTGTACTCGGTCTGCGAGGGGGTTCTGCCTATACCATTGCTGCGCGCTCCCAGATTTGCATCGTCCTGCGGCGTCTGAGATTGGACCTTCTCCGGTTCCGGGATCGTCGCTGCCTTTTTGTTCTTCGCGACTTCCACAACGGGGTCCTCGCACTCGTCACCGCCATGGCCTATGACTTCTGGAACTGTGCGCACGAAGCTCACGGTGAAGCCCTTCTTGCGCGTGCCTGTCTTCAGACCGCCGGGCCCTGGGCTCTTTCCGGCAGCAGCAGCGCTGTTCAGGATCGTCTGTGCGCCGGGCCATCGCTGGGCGCTCGCAACGTCTATGCGGGGTCGGAGGAAGGCTGAGGCGGCGGCAGCGGCGTCCTTTTGCTGCTGGGCGGCGCGGTCGGTCGAGGGCTTGAGGAAGTCGTTGATGTCGTGGTCGTCCGAGGGCGGCTTCGTCTTGGGCTGTGTGGCGGCGGCGAGTTCGTTGGTCTTTTCGAAGATCTTGGTCTTCCAGCGGCTCTTTGAGAAGAGCTTACTCCCGGCATCCTGTGCGTCCACCATGGTGCTGCCCGCAGACCAAGACTGGTGCTATCACTGGTGGTGGGAGGGGTCGTGGGTGGTGGAAGAATACGCCGTGAATGGCGGGTGAGGCGCGTCGGGGTGATCGCGTGCCTGGCGTCGAGGCTGCGTGTGTCGTGTTTGCCGTCCCTGGGGCTCAATTGATTATTGGCGGCGGCGACGACGGGCTGGCCAAAGTGTTCCGAGAGTCTGTCACTTCTCTAACAGGGTCCGGCCACATGAAACGGCCTGATGCGAAGAACCAATGCCGCCGTCAGGTATATACAGGTGAAAAGAAAGGCAGATGGGAGGAAAGCCACGAAATGCGGACCAAGCCAGGACCCAACAACGTCGTGGAACCGCCGCTGTAGTTGCGGAGTAGTTTATCAGCTAAATTGCCCAGGGTCGAAGCTAATTGCGCGCCGCCCGCTTATCGTTGCATGCCTGCAGCGGTATCCTAAACTCCTTTTGCGTCTGCTGCCTCGGGCTTTCTCTACACGAGCAAGATTTGCGTAAAGCCGTACAGCGAAATTGCGATTCTGCGTCGCTTGCCGGCTACGGCTATGCTTGGAAACGGCCGTCTGCAGATGTCTCGTGTTCGCAGCGCCAACGTCGACACACCCCACATTCAGCCCACCAGATCCCGTCTGTGCGTATGACACTCGGTCCTACATTCACCCAGTTACCACATGCGGTCGTATATAATTCCCTTGGCGGCAGCGCCTGCAGTCTGTGTGCGGCTCAAACATTGACCTTGTTGTATCCGGCGCATCGACAATGACTTCTCCATGTGCTTTCCATTGTCATCTCACCACCAGCACTGCCCGGTCTTCTATGCCCAACGTCTTACTCTATGTACGTAGATCCTGGCCCCAGCTTGTCAAGATCGTCATGACGTGCGTGGCATGTGTTTCACTCTCCTCTTCATGTGCGCACCTCGACAACCCCCTGAGGAACATGGCGACAACAATAACAGACTCCAACTGCTCAACGATACCTCGCTTGCAAGGCTATTGAGAGTCTCCCAAAAGGGAAGACCACAGGATGGGCTATGCCCGAAACAACAATGGAGTTGATAAGGCGCGACAGGGGTAGCGGTTCCTTAGCGTACATCAAGCCTCGGCTGTGCCACCTGGCCGACGTCTAAATATACTCGGAACGGAGGCCTTGACGTTCCGCTTTCACGAACGAATGAACAACACAACACGGCCACAAGAATTTCGCGGCGGAAGGATTGTGCCTTTGGCAGCGATTCAAGTAATTTTCCCTGTGCGCGTCTCGCGATGCAACACGAACAACCGGTGCTTACTTCTGACGCTAGCGGCCTTGGTCGTCCGCTATTGGCCACATGGCCTTTACCGATATGCAGTGGTGTGCCGACATGGTAGGATTAAGATGAGCGCTCATCTACCAGACTATAAGCCGTTGGTGGCGCAACCCGATGAACCCATAAGCAGTAACCACCAAACATCCCAGCAGGAAACTTGCAAATTCGGTAGACGTGCAGTGAACGGCTCTGCAGTATATATCCGTTGGCTGCTAGGGCATACGATGCACAGAAGAAGGAACTGTCCATCTTCATTTCCATCAGCACATCTCTCCGCTTCCATGCTTCCACCGAGCATCATGAGAGCCGGTGTTGGCCGATGGCTGAATAAAGTACACATTAGACTTCCGACGAACACCAAACCGCGGTCTTTCAGAGCCGCAAGTGGGGCAGAGCCATGCGCCAATGACGAAGAAAGCCCCATACTATCGTCATCGCACCGGCAGTCTGAACCCTCAGTACAGTACCCCGCGAAACTTCATCTTCCCCTCATCTCCATAGCTCCTGCCGTCTATTCCATTGCATCACAAAATGTCGTCTCAAGCCAGCTCCGAGCCTCTCCAAACGTACGAAATTTCCGATTTCAAGTTCCACAATGGCACCACACTGCCGAAACTCAAGTTGGCCTACAAGATCCTCAACCCGCACAACAGCAAGATAGCAGTTGTACACACGTGCTTCAAAGGCCGTCTCGACACCACCTTGACACATGCCAACGCCGCTCTGAAGAATCACAAGATCATCCTGATCGCCCTTCTCGGCAATGGCGAATCTTCTAGCCCTTCAAACACGCCCGACTTTCCCAGTACCCTTGAGTACATGGACTGCATCAGCGCTCAGTACTCTCTCCTTACCCAAGAACTCGGTATCAAAGAGGTAGATGTCATGCTAGGATTTTCGATGGGCGGCCAGATCACCTACCATTGGGTAACAACACACCCTGATTTCATCAAGCACGCTGTAATCGTATGTTCCTCCGCCAAAACTAGCAGACACAACTTCCAGTTCCTCGAGGGACCAAAGGCAGCGCTAGAAAGCGCAAAGAGTCCCGAGAGGGGTATCAGGGCATTCGGGAAGGCGTATTCAGCGTGGCTGACAAGCGCCGAATGGTTCGACGAAGAATGCTACAAAGAGATGGGCTTCCAGCAACTGCGAGACTGGGATGATGTGGCTACTATTCAGGGTTACGAAGGTTGGACAGGTGACGATCTTCTGGTAATGCTGGGTATGTGGCAGCGCGGAGACATCACTCGGTGCACCAAGGCGGAGGATCTAGAGTCGGCACTCAAAGGCATCAAAGCAAAGGTTCTGCTCATGCCGTGCGAGTACGATCAGTATTTCCGCCCTTATGTCAGCGAGAAGGAAGCCAAGAGCCTGGAGAATGCAACCGTGGAGATTGTACCCAGCATCTGGGGACATATTGCGGGTGGCGGGGCCAACCCGAAGGATGTGGATTGGATGGATCATCGGATCAAGCTTTTCTTACGGGGCTTAGTATGATTTTACAGACAGCTATCGAATTTGGGCATACTTATTTCCCATGTTAGATGTCAAGTCGTGAAAGGTTGGCGACAAGGAATAGCCTACACACGTCAGTAATGTCAAAAGTAATTTCAAACAAACTTCAAAAGTCGGCCAACAAATGTGCATCTCATATTGACCGAAGTTACTACTGTAATTCATTCAGCCCAATTTTCGCATGTGCTCATGTTCTGACAACCCCGAACATGGAGCAACCACATTCGTGTTTCAAGATCCCCGCAAAAACGATATGTCACCGCCAAGCTATTACACCCGCTGCCTCACCTCCACCCAGGCACGCTTCAAGGTTCTCGAAGCCGCCCAGCATCTCCGTGCGCAATTCCTCCACAAATCCTCAAAGCACTTCCGTGAAATCTAAAGCCCAGCAAAACCCTCTTCAGCATCCACAGCAATGATAACATCACCCACTTCTTCATCGGCGTCAGACCACAACACCTCCGATGCCGCACCGACAGCGACTCGCGGCAACGGCCGCAAGTCACGCGTTTCAGCAGAGCACACGTTGAACCGCGTGCGCGAGAATCAAAGGAGACACCGCGCTCGACAGCGCGATCATGTTGCTTCTCTTGAGCAAAAGCTCGCCGAGACCGAAAAGTTGCTTGAAGAAGCGCGAGCGGAAATCGCCGCTCTGAAAGCAGGAGGATGCGCGGCGGGCTCACACCAACAACCCCAACGACAGAATACCAGCAACGAAGATGTTGAAGAAGGAGAAAGATATATAGGAGAAGGAAATGCGCTTATATCTCAAGATATACCCAGACCACCCATTTCCGCTTTAACCGATCCGCAAACCGATTCGCTAGCACTCACATCCATCCAACCAGATCAGCTCATCGACCCGCAACTAGCAAACTACCCTGATGTCCACGGGCATGTTCCAGACATGAGCGACCTTTCCTTCTTGGGCGGATCCTCTTTCTACCTGCCGTCGCCATCGTCGTCGTCACGGTCAAACATGTCGTTGGTATCGCCAACTTCAATCTCAACGTCAACGTCAACACAAGCCCCATCCCTCGACACCCACCTCACAGTAACCAACACAACAACTCTCACGATAACTGGTCCCCCACCCTGCTGCAACGACCCCCCAACTCCAAACTCACCCCCTCCAACAAACACGCTAGAATGTACATCCTGCTCCACGAAACCTCCCCCCTCCCCCAGTGAAAGTACAACGCTCTGCGCCCAAGCCTTCGTCATGATCGGGCAGCAGAACTTCCGCAACCTCGATCCGGATACGATTAGGCTGTGGCTGGCGCAGGGGTTGCGGAGGGCGCAGAGGGAGGGCGAGGGCTGTAGAGTTGAGAATGGTGCGTTGTTGAGGTTGTTGGATTTTATTAGCGGGTTGTAGTATATGGAAGATAGGAGGAACGTGGACTCAGGGGAAGTATAGAGTATCTGCTGAGTTCGTTTGAGAAGGAGTATAAGGATAGGCGTACGGTGTCTTTCACATCCTCTTTAACCTATCCGTTAGAAGATTCGCATTGGGGAAGGTGGAAACTTAACGAAGATATATACCGTGCAATTTGGCAACAGGCAACTACATTTCTTTACCGCAATACATGTACGCATATTCAGTCATCCCACTCGATTTGTCATGCAAGGTAACATGTGAACAGGAGAAATCGTAGACATTTCATTACCTAAACGCTATGCAGAGAAAAAGAGAAAGTTCCCGTATAGTCATACAAAATATGTGTGGAATGATCGCGAAATCATGCTTCATCGTCAATTTTGGCATGAGCATGCATGAGACCCTGGGTGCCATCAGAGAAATACTTCTAGCGTCCCATCCTGATGACACCGGCGTGCACCAGCTTCTGGATCTTGGATCGGATGCTGGGGTTCTTGAGATGCTCTTGCAGAGCCGCGGGGTCGTCCTTGGCTTGCTGAAGAATAGCTTGCATGACGGGGTCTTGGAGGATGCCGACGATCTGGATTGTGTTAGTATAGCTCTCATGTGAATCGTGTATGGGTGAACATACCTCTGGATCCCGCTGGATACGCTCCATGGTTTGTTGCTCGGTCTCGCCTTCACGTGCCGAGTACTGTGCTTGTAGAGCCTTGGCTTCTTGTTGCTGAATCTCGCGAGCGTTCTTGCCGTCCTTGTCGTGCTCCATAGCTTCTGCGCACACATTGACACACTTGTTGTACTCGCGCATGGTGAAGTAGGCTTGGGCTTTCCGCAGGTAGGCTCGGATGAAGTCTGGATCACGCTTGATCGCCTCGTCGCAGTCTGCTACAGCCGAAGGGAACTCTAGCAACTTGATGAAGCAGGCGGCGCGGTTGGAGTATCCTCTTGGGTCGTCTGGTGCGCGCTTGATCATCTCGGAGTATGCCTCGACGGCCTCGGGCCAGTTGGACTCCTTGAACTTGGCATTGCCGAGCTCACGCGCCTTCTCAGCCTCTTCGGGGTTGATGTATGACTCCTTCTCTTGTTTGGCCTTGGCCTTTTCTGCTGCACGGAGCTTTGCGAGGACTTCGGGTGTGCGGTGTTCGGTTTGTGCCTTTTGGTAGTATTTGACTGCGTTGGCGAGATCGCCCATCTTCTCGTATGCGGTACCGATACGTGCAAAGGCCCTGCGTGTGTTAGCAAATGACTGGTGTAAGATTGGGAATGACATACTTGGCGATGATCTTGAAGTCGGCCAGGATCTCGCGACCGTACTCGACAGCCTCTTCACAAGCCTGGATGCAGCCCTCGTAGTCACCCTTCTCAAACTTGGCAGCTCCAAGGTTGGTCTTGTATGCAATGTCCTTGTGTGTCTCCCATGCCTTGTTGTAGTTTTCGATAGCCTCGTCGAATTGTCGCTTCTTGTAGAATTCGGTGCCCTTCTTCTTCAGCTCGTCCGCCTCAGCCTTCGCCTTCTTCGCAGCCTTGTCTTCCTCAGACTCCTCTACTGGCTCTGGCTCTGGTTCAGGTTCGGGTGCCTTCTTCGGTTGCTCGGGAGCTGGTCGCGCATCGGGCATCTCGACGTCCTCCTCGGCCTCCTTTGCGCCTGCATCGCCTGCTCCTCCAGCACCTGGGCCTTGACCGAAAGACATGTCGATGCCAAGTAGCACGCTCATGACGGAGAGGAAGCGGGGGTCCTGCATGAACTGGCCAGCCATGTTCGGGTTCTTCTGCAGCTGCTGGAGCTTGCCCATGAACTCTGCATCGCCGAGGAGGGAGGCTGTCTTGGGGTTCGCCGCGAGCTTCTGGATCATGTTAGGGTCGTTGAACATGCCACCGAGTCCGACACCGCTGTCGTTCGCCTCAGCTTCGACAGCGCGCTTGACGGCATCGAGGCCCTGTTTCGCCTGAGCATTGCTGGGGTCGAGCTTGAGTGCCTCCTCGAAGGCCTCTGTGGCTGCCACTATTGGGTGTTAGCGACGTCATCTCTCCCAGGAATGTTGAACATACCCAAATCACCCTCGCCGTGGAGCGCCGTTCCCTTGCGCCCCCAGCCCTTGGCCCAGTCTGGCTTAATCTCGGTAACCTTGTTTGCATCGTCGAGAGCCTTTTGCCAATCCTTGAGCGAGGCATATGCGCCGGATCGGTTCGAGTAGAGGACGTGATTTTGGGGGTCGAGTTCGATGGCCTGTGAGAACTTCTCGCTGGGATTTGTTAGTAAACCGTCGCTAGGCTGTGTTTGCGGGGACCCTACATGGACTCGGCGAACTTCTTCTCTGCGAAGAGCTTGTTGCCCTCTGCTTTTAGTGCGTCGGCCATGGTAGAGGTATTATGCGTGTGGTTGATTCTGTAATGTGACTGCGAATCTTTTGGTACTACGCGTGCGAGGGACAGGCTCTGAATTATAGTTTGATGGGTAGCTAGAATGTTCGATTGCGGAGCTCTGACGGGAACGTCCGTGCGGCAGACATCTGGAGGGCGCTCGTCATATACCCCACCACGAGCCTCACCCAACTCACTTTCAGCCTGGTGAGTACTATCTGCGCCCTCTTTCAGCCCTCCAGCCCTCTGCATGCGCAAGTATTTCACAGATCAGGTGATGAGATCTAGAGGAATTCGAACAGAACAATGCATTTTGTCAATCGCAGACCCAACAATTGTCCCACGCGCTTTGTCGTCTAGCATAGTTGCTATGTGATCGCACAGATACTCTATACTGACATCCTGAACAAGTCATCCAAGTTTCAGACGATCATCTTGCTGCAAAAAGATACGCTCTGTCCTTTGATCAACACTGTTCTTCAGACTTGCCAACCAAACTCTTGTCATGAGCCAGGTCGTTCGTCAGGCCCAGTGGGACGCCGAAGTGGCCTCCAGTGGACACTATGACAAGATTATGGTCCAGAATCTCGAGATCGTCGTCAACGCAGGAAAAGATGTTTGGGGACGCGAGAAGAAGCAGCGGGCCTTGATCAGTGTCACATTGACACTCGGAAAGCAGTTCACGTCAGCTTCTTCTACGGACTCCGTCGATGACAGCACTGTGCACTACGGTACGCTCAGCAAGGCGATACAAGCACGCTTCAAAGATGATTCCATGGCATGGATGTCAACCGTCGCTCTATCGAATGCCGTCTCTCAATGCGTTCGCGATGTCGCAGGCTCGACAGACGTATACGCGATCGAAACCGACGTCTGCTACCTGAAAGGCAGTATGTTTGGCGAAGGCGCTGGACACATCACCTCGCGCGTCGAAGGGTCTGGCACTAGCTCGAACGTACTGTACCTGCGCAACGTCCGCATCCCGTGCCTGATTGGCGTCAACTCCAATGAGAGGCTGCAGAAACAGCCCGTGGTCCTCAATGTTTGGGTTGACAACATGGCTGACTCTCGTGTGGAGGGATACCCTCAGCTAGAAACTTTCTTATTCGAGGTATGCACAGCACAATGTATACGTACACACCGACTGACCAGCGTAGTTGATATCTGGCTCTACATTCCAAACGATCGAGAGCCTGCTTGCGTGGTTGGTCGACGAGCTCAGACAAAGATTCTTCACAGAAGAGGCGGACCAGAACGCGTGGATCAAGCTGAGAATTAGCAAGCCCCATGCGGTACCCTTTGCAGATGCGCCAGCCGTCGAGATAACACGACCCGTACGGTCGAGCTAGGGTGGGGTGGTGTCACTAGCAAACTGCCGCAACGAGTCAAAGCGTCGCCGTGACTGTGGAAACGTCTGCAGGTTTTCTCGGACGCCAGCCACGGGCACAGCTAACGATGTCTGTTCCTGACTTGTGCTAGGGGAGGTACGTTAGCGCAACCGGTACCGATTCAGTCTCCACTTCCATAGCTGGCCCTGTCTTACAGCCTGACAGCGTGAAGTCGGGAACCGCCAAGCGTCTAAGCTTGTTAGAAGCTTCTGCCATCTCGGTTCCTGGCATCGCGAGTTCCTCCAGGCTGGGCCATTGGTACACCCCAATGATATTCTTGCTGTTGGGCACAATGCAATCAATGGGTCTTGTCGGGATTCGAGTAATGATCTAGCTAAATTCCCGCAAAGTTTCAACACGGGCGTGTGTAGTGGAGATGGCGTTCTTGAGGCTGTCGTAGCATGGGCATCGTTGTTGTGTGAATACACCGACTTAGTAGCAGAAGATCCCCCACGTGGTCCAAGCGATGCAGACGTGTACCTGCGCCACTGCCACTTTCCACTTCTGCAGCCACTATCTTTTATCCCAAGTCACTTCCGCGATATGCAGATGCAAAAGACCCTTGATCACCCGAAACCCCGCTGCATTCGCCTCCGCGTTGCATCGCGCAGTCGCCACTGTGGAAAAAAATGCAACTTTCCCAGCCGGGGAAGTCTGTTGGGGAGCAAGTCGGAAGAGCGGTCTCTGCGCGACGTCAAGCTGACTGCAGCCCCCTGCTAGCGCGGCGGCCAGATGAGGGGCTTTTCAATTTATCGACATAGCTCTCCGAAAAGTTATTCAACAATTGTGCATCGTGAGGTCGAGCAGATAGGCGGCCGCGCAGCCATTCGATAGTCACTGTTGGCTCGGGCGGACGCGGGATGGTGTGAAGACCTGGAAGTGTAACTGTTGTGAAGCCACGATACAGTAACGTGGTCAGACCTGAGTGAGAGCTGAGTGAGAAGCTGGGTGGAACAGCTCGAGGGCTGTAATCTGATACCAGAATAGCTGGGGTGAAAATAGCTACTAGCCCAAGCCATTGCACAGGAGGTGTAATGGCTGCACTATGGCTGATGATGGTGTGAAAGCAAGTATCAAAACTTCGTCGTGGGCAGGCACTATTGGTGGCGTGGCCGTTGCCATGCAGAGATGCTGCGGTCGTAACTGCCCTTCTAGTACTTGAGCGGCAATGACCTGCATGTATAAAAGGCAAATTCACACCGTCTCTTCACCATCCCCATCAAACCCCGAGCCTGTTCTCGTTACCAGGCCATAGCTTGTTCTCGACTTGCCCCACGTTCAACGCCAAGCGCGACCCATTGCCTTTAAGGAGACCAGCTCCCCAACACTTGTTGTTCCCTACACCACTCTCTCCTCACGGAACAACCTCTTTTCTCCTCAAACATACACAATGGCGTCTCGCGCGATTCCTTCTCACTTGAAGCCCTCCGCTGCTGAGGGCGGCGAGGGTGGCTTCTCATCCCAACGCCATCACGGCAAGTCGCAGTCCCACGTGGTAAGTACTCTTTCTCTCTGTTTCTGCAGTTGTCCGGCGTGCGTCTTGCTTTTTCCAGCGCTGCTTGCTTGCATTGGTTTTGTTGCTGCACAGCGGACGCAGCTATCCTCACCGCTTCCCGTTGTCTCGACATGGGTATGGTGGGGACCGAGGAGAGCTGGCATTGAGCGGCCACGATTGCTGGTCGATCGCAATACGCCGTTCGGCCAGACGTCAAGGCGATTTCCTACGAGCGGACTAGGCGATCCATCTGAGTTGGTGTTCGCTGCCACTCTCGAGTATTGGCCCCGCATTCGCATCGCCTACTCCCCGCGGGAGTGATGTCGTGGTGACAACACGTACCGTCTCAACAATTCCAACACCTCGAATTCGATTTCAATCAACTAACAACGACTTTGCAGGCTTTTGAGAACACATCCACCAATGTCGCCGCCTCGCAAATGCGCAACGCGCTCAACAAGCTCGCCGACACCGTCACAGACCCCGCTGAGAAGAAGGTCAGTCGCAATCCTTCTATACCCCTCCATCTTCATCTGCCACCTATACATTTCGATATGCTTGCGTGGGTCAATCTCGCGACTACAAGCTGTGAACATGGTTGGAGGGGCATTTGGAGGGTACGTCATTCTGAGCGTATGCTGACCCACTACAGTACTTCGAGACTGAGATGGACAACTTCTTCGCTCTGTTCCGCCGATACCTCAACGACAAGGCCAAGGGCACTGCCATTGACTGGAACCGCATCGCTCCCCCGAAGGCCGAGCAGGTCGTCAGCTACGATGAGCTGGCCAACACCGAGGCTGTCGAATACCTGAACAAGTTGGCGGTTGTCAAGCTCAACGGTGGTCTCGGTACCTCCATGGGTTGCGTTGGCCCCAAGTCCGTCATCGAGGTCCGTGATGGCATGTCCTTCTTGGACCTGTCAGTACGACAGATCGAGTACCTCAACCGCACATACGATGTCAACGTGCCGTTCGTGCTGATGAACTCGTTCAACACCGACACCGACACTGCCAGCATCATCAAGAAGTACGAGGGCCACAACATCGACATCCTCACCTTCAACCAGTCAAGATACCCCCGTATCCTCAAGGACTCGCTCCTGCCCGCTCCCAAGGAGAACAAGTCCGACATCGCCAACTGGTACCCCCCTGGTCACGGTGACGTTTTCGAGTCTCTCTACAACACCGGCATGATTGACAAGCTCATGGACCGTGGTATCGAGTACATCTTCCTTTCCAACGCCGACAACCTGGGTGCCGTTGTCGATCTCCGCATTCTCCAGCACATGGTCGACTCCCAGGCCGAGTACATCATGGAGCTGACAGACAAGACCAAGGCCGACGTCAAGGGTGGAACCATCATTGACTACGAGGGCTCTGTCCGTCTGCTTGAAATCGCCCAGGTTCCCAAGGAGCACGTCAACGAGTTCAAGTCGATCAAGAAGTTCAAGTACTTCAACACCAACAACATCTGGATGAACCTCGCCGCCATCAAGCGCGTTGTTGAGGCCAACGAGCTTGCCATGGAGATTATCCCCAACGGCAAGTCCATCCCTGCCGACAAGAAGGGCGAGGCCGACATCTCGGTTCTCCAGCTCGAGACCGCTGTCGGTGCCGCCATCAAGCACTTCAAGAACGCGCACGGTGTCAACGTTCCCCGAAAGCGTTTCTTGCCCGTCAAGACCTGCTCTGACCTGATGCTCGTCAAGTCGGATCTGTACACACTGCAGCACGGCCAGCTGGTGATTGACCCCAACCGATTCGGCCCTGCTCCCTTGATCAAGCTCGGCAGCGACTTCAAGAAGGTTTCCAGCTTCCAGGCCCGCATTCCCTCCATTCCCAAGATTGTCGAGCTTGACCATTTGACCATCACCGGTCCCGTCAACCTTGGGCGTGGTGTCACCCTCAAGGGCACTGTCATCATTGTTGCGACCGAGGGCTCCACCATCGATATTCCCCCGGGTTCCATCCTCGAGAACGTCGTCGTCCAGGGTTCGCTCAGGCTGCTCGAGCACTAGAGTGGTTGTCGACATTTTCTTCACAGTTCTTATAGATTTTTTGAGGATACAGGTCTTCTTTAGCCACTGGTAACGAGGGATGACTGCATTGCAACGTACTTGAGCAAAAGACTCAGGCGGTAATGGGGCGTAATAGTCACGCATGTCCATGATTCACGTATCATCATAGACAAAATGCATCTTGAATACAATCCATAATGATCCATTTGTTGTTGCTTGAGTTCACCACACGCTGTGTTTGAAGCTAGTAAGATGTGGTTAGTAGTAAGCTAATCTCCAGTATGGAGAAGATCCATGTCAACCCAAAGAACTGACCCATCTGCAGCTTATTACTTCCAAGAAATGGTGCCTGATTGCGGCCTCACGCCATCTCAGCCTTGCGGCCCTACCGCGGTGATGTCAGAATGTCACCAGCCACGCAGCCAACCCAACCCGCGAACAACAACCCCCACCAATCTCCCGGTTCCTGCGCAGTGCAGAGGCGCAGTCGGCCAGTCACCTGTATCTTACATAGCGATGATGCCTGCTGATAGCGGCGAGCAGCACCTGGTATAAGCAGCCGTGGCTTCCTGACGCCGTTTTGTCGCGTTCCACACGCCTGCATCCTCGCGTCGCACGCAGCGGGGTTGATCGCAACCTGACGAGCATCAGCTCCGAGCATCGAGCCGAAGATTTGCATGCCTGAGCCCATTAATAGCGATTGCTCCCACCTATCGACAGAATGTCACCCGAACCTATGCCACATAACGAGTTCCAGGACGAACGCGCCGCGAACCTAGCGCAAGCGGATGCGGCGCATCGCGAAGCATACGATTTCTGGGGTTACCTTTTCAAGGAAGATAAATGCGGGACCCCGTTGCTGGATCGCCTGTTGAAGGGCATCGCCTACGTCATTGTGAGTTGAGTGTAGCTTTTAGATGTCCACTGGGAGACCTCAAGCTAATGCGCCACGGTAGAGCCAGAAGTTCGGATCAAGCGACTCGCCTGATCTTACGCCGTCGCAAATCGCAGCCTGGTATCGCAGTGTTGGGGGCGACTACGACGTACTATTCACAGACACCCCGCCGTCATCCGTTGCATTCATATATCGGTCACTCGGCGCATTCCACAGCCTGCAACCAGCACCAGACGACGACGGCTACTCGAGTCCCACCATACCTGCGCTGAAGAAGGACGGCTTTGTGACATGGCAGACAATACAGTTGCTGCTAGGGCCAGAAGAGCATGTGCCTTTCCTACAGAAGGCGGTGGACCTGGATGACATACCCGATCTGGAAACCGGGGGCACATTCCCTAAAATCCTACCCAAGGAGTGCTTCCCAGAGAAACCCGATGATGCGATGGAGACGTGGTATCAGAGCGTTGCCGCCAGGCTTAAGAAGGAGGCGGAAGAAGAGCTAAACGGGGGCAGTGCGGCTGAAGAGCCAAAACCGCGCACTTCGACGG